GAGGATTCTTCGAATCCCAGTTGTGATGCTAGAGGCATTATGGGAACAGCGGTTCAACCGAGGTCTAAGGGTTGTAAAAATACTTCACCCCAACCGTCAAAGTTGACCCTCAACACGAACCCAAACCCGAGGAGCTGCGTTTGCAGTCTTCCTCTGCCTTTCTGTTTTGCCAGTCGGCGGCTAGAGCCAGCAGAGCTCCCACACGATCTGATCCAAAGCACGCGGGTCCTCCTCCGCCCAATGCACACCGTGATGGCCGTAGGATGTCACGTTCTTGCAAATCGGATCTTGATCGTCCACGTGATACAAAAAAGTCAGTGGAGCGGGGCGCGACCGGCTAAAGATATCCGCCAACTTAGACAATTGTGCTCCTTTGCCTGTGCCCGGCGCAATCTTGGATGTCGTGAAGAAAATGGGAAAGGTCAAAGGGCGCCGCACAATCGTCCGATCACAAATACGGTGGATACACTGGACCGCCTTATCAATGGTCTTTTGCTTCACCGCGTACGAGCAGAAAATCACAGCCAAGTCCGAGTGCTCTCGCAAGAGTCTCTCAAGGCACGCAGATGTCCTCGCCTCGTCGCGGTCAGCGACCAAATGAATGTCCAATGACAGCAGCACAGAAGTACCCGGCGGAAGCAATCCCTCCGCAACCTTAAGCGAAGTCACCTGACGCGCCACTGGCCGGAACCTCAACTCGGGTACAGCCCCGCTGCTTGCCGCCGCGCGCTCCCTCTCGGGTCCAACCCCGCTGCTTGCCGTCGCGCCTGTATCAAGAGTCTCCTCGGCAGCCTCCTCGGCCGGTTCAAGAATCTCCTCGGCAGCCTCCTCGGCTGGCTCCGCGGCGATTTCAAGTGGATTCTCAAGATGTTCGGCCGCCTCCTCAAATCGGGCCCGCTTAGGCTGTCGAAGAAGAGGGTTAGCAGATGTAACCGTCACTCGAGTCCCGATAGGGACAAACGGAGCTAGTCCAGGCGCCGAAGTTGGTGAAATGCCTCTGGGTTTAGGGGGCGTGGGAGGACGTAACCTACCACCCGGAAGAGTCCCTCTACCGGAAGTTCCACCCCTTACCGAATCCGAATCACTACCCAAGGCACGGCGTGCAGGAGGTGGAAACGGCGGCTCGCGAGGCGTAACCAAAGGCCCACTAGGAGCAGCAGAAGATACACCAGGAGACTCAAGACCAGAAGGCGGAGGGGTCTCAGGGACAAGATCAGCAGGAGGAGGGGTCTCGGGGGCAGTAGGTGCCGGCGCAAAAGACCGCGGAAACAGTGTCGGACCAGAAGACGGAAGGAAAGTGGGCAAAGGATCAAACCGATCAGGGGTATTACCCTGCTCTAGCCAATTAATATAGGCGTTGGCCGTCTCCAAGTTCTGGCGGTCTGCCTGATCAAGTGCCGCGAGTCCACGGAGCTCAGAAGCAAAGCCACCCACAATCTTCAGGTGCAAACTCCTCCGGGCCCTCCCAGATGAGCCAGATCCTCCGCGTTTCTCGGCTGCCAACAGGAGCGCAGCGTTGAGAGCGAATCTCTCCTCTGGCGTAGTAGCCCCGCGGCCACTCATACAGCAGAGAAGAAAACAATCGGGATGCCTTCAGATAACGAACACAAGTAGATTGAAGTTCGCTATTCCTCTGAAGGCTCTGCTTGGACAATCCTCTAGATTATCCAATGTCCCAATGTCAATCCCTGAAGGCTCAGCTGGGTAACCCTCTCGATCACCCGATGTTCAATGTCAACCCAGGAAGAACGACACAGAACCCCCTGGCTGGCACACTGAGAGCCGATGCGATTTGTTGTTTCTTTTGGATCGTTGTGCTGTGCTGCCGAGGCAGTCTACAGCTGGGATGAGGGACTGAGGAAGCGGTTCGAAGGCCGAGCACGGAAACACCCACGCTAACCCAAACCAGAAATCTCAATCAACCTCCAATCTCAGCGGAACTCTTACAGGAGGGTTGCTGGGATGCAATCGCACTCCTGACACGTTGCGGTTGTGTTCTGTTCTCTACTGGATCGCCTGTTGCACCACAAGGCCTGGCCTCCTTCGTCCGTGAACGGGACTACGGGAGAGGTGCTAAGGCAGGGCTTTGAGAAACCCGAAGAAGGTTACCACGCGGATGCCTGAGCAGGCAGGCGAATCACGCGGCAGATTTGGACCTCACAGATAATGTGCAAAACCAGGCTGCGATGTACGCTCTGGTTGGGATCTCAACTGTAGGGTTCTGGCTCTAACCCCAGGAGATTGACAGTGCAGGATACGGAAAGTGGTATGGAGGATGGGCAGGTCTCTCACTAGACCTACGGCGAACCGATTTCACGCAACCTCGCTAGTTGCTTTCAGATATGGAATGCACAGACACTAGGCCTGCACGCGGGGCACTATGGCTCGCAGGGGTCCTAGGCTCTCCCTAGACGACCACAGTGAATGATATGAAATGCTGAGGCTGTTAACCAGTTGAACACGAAGTAAACCCGTCGTGTTACAAAACAAGCAAAAGCAAGCACTCACAGCACTTCTTTTACTTGAGCCAAATACGTTCGTGTGCGTCGTTCAAGCTGCTCTTCATCTACCTCTTGTAGAGTACTCTTAGCTACATCAAGCAAGTGCGTGGGGCTCGAGTATGATTAACTCCTTTGTAAGGAACTTTGGACTGCATCCTAGTAGTAAGGAGCCCCAAGCAACAGCCTAGGTGACCATCGGCAATTCTTCCGGCTATTTTTTCGTACTTGGAGGGGCAGGGGGACTTAGTAAGCCGTATATAAGTAGGGTTAGAACTGGGGCAACTCCATTTAGGGTACTTATAACTCTTCTTAGTGCCACAAAGGACATACTTCCGGTTTAGGCTTTAGGAGATTTGGGCTTAGGAGTTTAGGAGTGGTTTAAGGTTTAGGAGTTTAGGATTAGGGGCTTAGGGTTTAAGGGTTTAGGGGTTTAGGAGTGGTTTTAAGGTTTCGGGGTTTAGGAGTGGCTTAAAGCTTCGGGGTTTAGGGTCTAAGGGTTTAGCAGACATGGGGCTACAGGGTGTCGGGGTGGAGGGTCTTCGAACACAGGACGCTAGGGTATGGGGTTTCAGGGTATTGTGTTCAGGATTAGGTTTTAGGTTAACCTGGACCCCCCAACTACCCTCGAATAATACCCCAGATACCCTAAACCCTAAACCCTAAACCCTAAACCCTAAACCCTAAACCCTAAACCCTAAACCCTAAACCCTAAACCCTAAACCATAAGGGCTTTATTAAGGGGGACTTGGGGGGACTTGGGGGGTGCATAGACTTCTCGTAAGAAGCCTTGCGCCTCCGGCCGCGGTGTCCTAGTTTGACTGTAGCCCTTCTGGGTATGTAGGGTGCCAAGGAATCAAGGATTCGGTCTTAGGGTTTGGAGATAAAAGATGCAGAAGGCGCCTATACGATGTGAGCAAGGATTCGGGGCATGGTACAGCAAAGACCATACGTAAGTTAAGTGATTTCACGTACAGGCGATCAGCGACCATTATTGTGAAGGATGGGGGAGTGGATCCCCTACTTGACTGTGCAGCACGCAAGCTTTCGAACGCTGTCGCTGGTGTGGTCACTGCTTGCACTTGTCCAAGTTTGCAGCAAACATCCTCTCGTTGCCCTCGCTTGAGCTCCTCTGCCAATGTATTGTTGAAGCGCATTCGCATTTCCCTGAGCCGGGCGCGTCGTAACATGCGATTGCTCTTGACATTCCGGCATGATTCAGATGAAACGGCAAGGCCAGCTGATTTTCAAACTGAGACGAAGTCAGGCATATGAGCAAAGGTGGTCGAAACACGACAGCCAAAACACCGAGAGCCCGAAACTATGCTACAGAAACCACATACTACGCAAAAAGTGGACGTTCGAAACTTGGCTACAACTTAAAGGCATGGGTCTGATCCAGCAGACTTCACCCTAAGGCTGCATGTATCCATATAGTATATGCATTATATACCCTATGGGCACATGGAGCCTTAGGGTCAGTGCCCTTAGAAGCATACTAAACTCACTAAACATAGCATTGTCACTAATGCTTGGAGTTTGTTTGGAATACAACTTCAACGAAAACCTAAGAACAGCCGATCAGACCCACAAAGGGGATCCCTATATCGAACGAAGTTCGCACAAGAGCCCGCATGTTGCCTAACGCACATCGGTAGAGTGCCAGCAGCCCAAAGATGAACAGAACAAGCCCGAAGGGGTCGGGGGCTCAATCCCCGAAAGCCTCAACGCCTAACCCTTAAAACCTAACGCGTTTCCCATCATATCAGGGCCTTGGTACTTCGAAAGTACGTTGTTGGGAATGATTCGGGTTTTGGGTTTAGGAGAAAACGGGCCTCTACGCAAGCACTTCTGCCTGCTCTGCAAGCAGAGCTTTAATATTTGCTGCTTATGGCGAATGTCCCACAACATCGGCAAACATCTTCCATGGCGGTCCTCCGCACGTTCATCTTAAGCCACGAATCTGCAGAGCCAAAGGGGCCAGGGTTAGAGCAATGTAGAAAACCCTAAAACCTTGAACCCCTGATTAGTCAGGCTTTCGGATTTAGAATAAACCACTCCTTCCCTTAACGGGGATTACAGCTGGGGATCTCAAAATTGAGGCGGTTTAGGGTTTAGGGTCTTTGAAGAACTTAGAGTAAGGATCCTGTTAATCGCGCTCGCTACGAAAGGGGATGTATTCACAACGGGGCTCACTAGATAATTACGATTACTGATTACTAGTTTGGGGTTCCTCAGTACAGTTTGACTATGATATGCCCAAAAACCTTACTTATTCTAGGTATTCTGGCCCCTATATCAGTTCAACCCAGTCACGGATGAGAGATTAGAGTTTAGGGGTTGGAGCTTTAGGGATTACGGTTTGGGGTTAAGGGCCTGGGAGTTAAGGTCTACCTGGACCCTCAAGAACCTACTTTTTTGGGGTTCCTTACTATGATTTCCTTATATAAGTCCTTAAAAAGGTAGGTTCTTCGGGGTTAAGGTAGGGTCTCCCTCCGCGGCCTCCGGCAATGCCGAGGATTCCAGATCCATCTTGAGGGCAAGAAGATGATACGCATCCACGCAGCCATACCTTGGGTACGGCCCCCACTCTGTAATAGTGACTATAAGGATTATATAGGATTATGTTAGGGCCTTATTATGTTCCTATTATAGCACTATTACAGGGTGGGGGCATCCACGCAGCCATACCTTTGGTACGGCCCCCACTCAGTAATAGTTGAATAATATTCATAATATAGATATACCGTGATATACCTGAATAGTAGCCTTGTTAGAGACTCTTACTGTATGGGGGCAGTACCTAATTAAGCCATACCTTCTGACTACTCTGCAGCAGTGCTAGACTATCATCATCCAGTAGTGTCAACAACTGTATTATATTTGATTAGTATAAACCGGCCAAACAGCAAATAGGGGTTGCATTGTGTGGAGGGTCGACGGCGTCTAGCTGAGTCTAGCTACGGTCGGCACTGCTTCGCTCAATCTTGTGACCCGGTCTAGGGATGTGGGTGAAGTCCCGAACTGGTTCATTCAGCAGGTGCTGAGATACCGGTGCAGTTGCCTATCAAGTAAGTTAATGACGCTGCAGAGTGACAGCTGACACCCCCTGCTTGTAGAGTATAACCCCCCCCGCATAGGTGAACGAAGCCAGGGGTATGTCACCCCGTAGTAGCGAAGCGTCCCACTATAAACTGCTCGGCTGTCCGATCCACAGCAAAACACAATGCAATCCAAGCCATGCCAGCAGGACATCATACCATACGTTAGACATGGAAGAAGGGAATATCAAGTAGGTCTAGCGGTTTAGTTTGCACACTGACGCAAGACGCAGCTCCGAAGCCAACCAGTCAGCAGTTCTTGGCAATCTCAGGACCACTTCACAGCTTGACACACTAAGTTAGCCGGTCTCCTGCAAGAAAGTATCGCTCATTGTTTGGGAGCCTTTAAACGGGCACTTATTTTGTAGGATCCTTCTAATACACCCGGAACACGGACCGCTACCAAAACGCCTACTTGTTGTCGGGACTTGTCGGGTATCATGGGGAACTGAAGGTTTTCCTTTTTGATTTGATTATATAGGGATTATGATATAGGGACTGTATTACCCAAAAAAGGTTACAGGTTACCTACTCTACTGCTAGGGCTACCCAAATGGACCAGTAGCAAGTGCGGCACTTGCACATGGTACAGGTCCACGCCAACCCGCTGCCTGAATTTTGCCAGTGCTCTGTTGCTTCGGCGGCTAGGGTTTAGGGTTTAGAGTTTAGGGTTCAGGGTTTAGGGTTTAGGGCTTAGGGCTTGAGGTTTAGGGTTTAGGGTGTAGGGTCTAAACCCTAAACCGTGGCTCCGGGTTCAGGGATGTAGCGGGCAGCGCGCTCAGCTCAAAAAGTCAAAGCAAGGAGAACAACAAGAACACATTGGTCCAGGTTAATCAAACGCTGCTTGCGGTGCACACTCCTCCCTTTTTCGACAACAATGCCGGGTCCGGCCTGCGACCTGCTAGCAGCACAACGGGCCCTTGATCTCAATGTAACATAGGTGACGTACACACGGCACAAGAACGGCCGGGCCGTCGCTGTGCTAACACGTGGGTGTAGCAAACAGCAGCAGCTGCTGCAGCAGCAACAGCAGCAGCGGCAGGAGCAGTAGTGGTAGTAGTAGTAGTAGTAGTAGTAGTAGTAGTAGTAGTAGTAGTAGTAGTAGTAGTAGTGGTAGTGGTAGTAGTAGTAGTAGTAGTAGTAGTAGTAGTAGTAGTAGTAGTAGTGGCAGCAGCGGCAGTTGTAGTAGTAGTAGTCGCCATCGTCGTCCTAGTGGTAACTAGTATTGCTACGACGCAGAGAAGGGCAATTTCTGCTTTGGCGAGAGAAAGAAGGGTACTCTAAGGCTCCATGTGCCGATGTAGTATGTACTTCACCGTCAAATCCGTCAAAATACCTATGCAGGAGCCCCTAGAGGGCACTTATTCAAAACTACAACCGTTGTCTGACCCCTAAACCCAATACAAACTCCTTGTCTTAAAACAGGTCGGGCTGCTGCTGAGCAGTGCACAGAGACACGCGGAGGCATGGCGCCGTTGCAGGAGACGTCCTGAGTCTGAAAGGCTTGGTGTGGGTTTCGGGTGTAGGATGTCGTGGTGTTCGAGCACCCTCATAATGTAAACCATGTACACGGATATGCATATATTATATAGCGAGTGAGAGAGAGAGAGAGAGAGAGAGAGAGAGAGACACAGAGAGAGAGAGAGAGTGAGAGAGAGAGAGAGAGAGAGAGAGAGAGAGAGAGAGAGAGAGAGAGAGTGTGTACACAAACCCCACGAAACATCAGCTAAGGTGCGGCTGACTGTCATGCCCCCCCCTTGACATGAAAGCTTGGAAACGCAGCTGCTCCTCCACACAGTTCGGGTCAACGATTTAGGGCTTGGGGTTTTAAGTTTATCGGCCAAAAGCTAACTATACCCCCCTTAGAACCATAATAAAAATACTACTATGTTTAATATTCTCTTGGGCTTTAAATGAACAAAAATACAAAATAATTCCTAAGGAGACTATAGCTAAGGGCAAGACTTGAAGGTCTATGTGGGTCCAGAGATGGCGGGGCTTGAGCGGGTAGAGTTCAGTCCCAGAGCTAAGCGCCCAAGGTTTGCAGGGTTCAGCCCCTAAGGCTCCATGTACCCATATAGTGTATACATTGGCCTTAAAGTACTCATACCCACCTATACTGAACTTAGAACCCTAGCAAAAAATACAAAATTTTAGCTGCTCTTAGGGATTATAATAACCAAAAGAAGTATAATTCTAAGTACCACTAAGCCCCAGTGCTCCTCGCTGTTCTGGGACAGCAAGTCCTTAAAGGCGGCACCCTCCCACACATTCCCTGCAGGGAGGACGCGGCACCGTAGGATTCGGCTGCTAGACCCAAGAGTAGCCTAGGAATAAAATTCTAGTGAATTCTTACCAAGGAACCCTAGCCACGAGTGGTGGTACTATTTCAAGCTTCTATATTCGGGCACAGTTAAGGGCTTTGTATTGGGCTGCTCGCTTTCATATCGGGTTTAGGCTCTTACGTCCAGGGCTTCATCCACTCCGGCCTGACAGCAGGATGCGACTCAAACCCGTGCTCGCTTCAATCTTGAGTTCGTCATTCAGCAGCAACTCTGCATCGCTAATGCCTCCCAGCAGTGTACGGAAGCTTGAGACCAACGCCTCAGCATCTGCATGTTGAAACTGTGCGGCTACGCGCCCACGGAGAATAAGTTCAAATACGACGGCGGCGATGATGAGTAGCCCAGAGAACACAAGCTGCGCATGGATGGTCGCAGTCAATTCCGCTCGCTCCCAACCACGGTTCACAATGTGACGACACACCTCCGTGAGAGCCAATACGAGTTGACCAACTATATGGGTTCGGCTGTCCGCAAAAACAAGGATTGAGACCAACTGCGCAGCCGCCAAGCACTTCATATGGGCCGATGAGTGGGCGTCGTATGACTGCGGACCCATCCAGTGCGCCACAGCCATTACTGTGTACAGGAGAGCATAGGAACACCTGAGACGTGCCACTGACACATGAATTCGTCCAGCGGAAACCAACCAGTGCATGGAATATAGGAGGCTGTTAGCAAACATCATGAATGCAAAGGTCATAAAGTCCCCGTCGTAAACGAGGGGAACCGCAATCACACACGCCACGTTGAGATGTTGCGCAAGCCGTGTTGTCACAACGTAGTTTTCCTCTGGACACACAAGTCGTAAACCGAAGGCTCCATGTACCCATATAGTATTGAAGTAATGCCTATAGACCCCTTTTGAGGCTTAAGTATATACTCTATGGGCACATGGAGCCTTAGGGTTCAAGACCAGCATGAAACAATCATGCAACTAGCTACCCAGAGACTCCGATATCCCTTATTAAGGATTACTCCTTAAATTATAGTAGGACCCCTAATATGATTTAAGGAATATTCCTGAAGGTATTGGAGTCGCTGGCTTCCACCAGCTTTACACCTGCAGCGCCTTTGCTGCATCCAAAGCATGTCTACTTCTCGATACTGTTGCCTATGCTGAACTTAGAACCCTAGCAACAATTGTAACTTTCGCTGTTTCTTAGGGATTATAATAACCAAAAATCCGAACTTATTTCTAAGTACCCCTAAGTTGCTCCCTCTTCTGACTTCTGGCTAGACTATCGTACACCCCCCCCCCCACCCTCCGACTCAAAAAAAGTAACTATAAATTTGGGTCTTGGCAGTCTAGCCACGTGACTGCACCGAGGGTCTCTAAGCCCACAGGTTTCAGGATGTATGGGGCTTTATGTTTTAGGGACCTACGAACCTTCGCCCCCAGCCGAGCCTTCCAATTCAGCGAAGTCCAGGCTGTGATATGGGCCCCTATTGATAAATCGAGTTGGGTCACGTTATTCGTAATTTCTCAGGCTTCTGTATTAATCAATCTCAGTTGGTAAACAGCACATGACTACCCTATACTGAACTTAGAACCCTAGCAAAAATTATAGTCTTAGCCGTTTCTTAGGGATTATAATAACGAAAAATATAAAATATTTCAAAGCACCCCTAAGTACCTTCCACACTTGCTAGTCTTCCTACCATTCCGAGAAAGAGACCTGTTAAACCTAGCGGATTCTTCGGAGAGAGATGTATGTTGAGACTAAGCCCCATACCCCGCCACTGAATCCTGAACCCCATGACAGCCATAAGCCTGAAACAAAAAAGACAAAAACTTAACCTCAGCCGCTTTTCGTTCGATATCCTATTCGACACGGGTCGTGCGTGTGCTGTAGTCGAGGTGGCAGGGGTGGCGGTAGGAGCAGCAAAGCACGATTGCTCTGCGAGTACCCCGAGCGGCGTGTTGAAGATCTTCGTGCGGCAGAGACAACTAACGAGAAGAGCTATAGAGGTACGGTTGAAGATATAAATCCTGCATTACCCATAATAATAAGGAATATACCAAAACTCCCATAGTTTAGGGTCCTTAATTTATATCATCAGCCGTACCTAGTACCTAGACCCTCCATCTACCCTCTATTAGACCCTAAATGCCCACTATTTGGGGCCATATACCCCTGTTTGAGGGTACAAGGAGGGTCCTGGTAGCAAGAAGCGTGGCGTGAGAGTATTGATCGTGAAGCCTAGACACTACAAGCCCTAAACCCTGTAAACCCCACCCACTTAGTTGCCGAGTTTATAAGCCCAAAAAAGTTTGAACTTTCAGTTTGAAGAGGGTTTCATTATCCGAAGAGGTTAAAAGTTTAAAAACTCAGCTACTAAGCCCAAACACCCTGAACGATGAAGCCCTTAATCCTAAACTCCTTAGCCCTCAACCCCTTAAACCACGTGAACCGTAAACCCTAAACATTTCCGCTCTGATCCTTAATGAACCCCTTACAAGCACATTCAAAAGACCCTTTAGAGTACCTCAAAGGAACCCTTAGAGGAGCCCATTCCTCTAAGGGTCCCTTCAAGGGTTCGTTTAAGGGTCCCTTTAACAGGTTTAGGGTTCAGGGTTAGGGATTAGAGTGTAGGGTTTAGGGATTTTTCCTGTCCTCTCTGATCCGATCCATGGCTTCGTCGACGCGTTTCGCGGAGTCGCCCCCAGCGGAAGTGCCCGTCCTGATTTCAAGAAGGGGGCTGGATTTTTGTTAGGTAGGGCTTAGGGCGTAGAGGGTTTCATGGTGGAGGGCTTAGGGTGGTTTAGCCTTTTCTTTTGTTCCTCATGATAGATTGAAGTCAGGATCCGTGTTGTTCCGGGTCCTTTTGTAATGTCACCTCCAATGAACCCACCCTAAACCCCTAAACCCTAAACCCTAAACTCCTAAACCCTGAACCAACTGGTGGTCTCGAGTTCTACAGTGGACGAAATGCCCAGTAGCCTAGAAACAAAAAGGGCTCCCTTATTTTGGTATTGCCCTACGACTCCATATGCCCATATAGTATATACTTAAGCCTCGAAGGGGTCCCAGCATAGGTACTTTAAGGCCAATGTATATACTATACGGGTATATACATGGATTAGGGTTGGGTACCTTTGTAAGGAACCTCGGACTGCAAAAAGGGAATAAGGGTACTACTGGGCTTATAATTAAGGTTCCTTAAAGGGATCTATAGGGTTCCTTAAAGGGATCTATAGGGTTTAGGTTTAGGGTTTAGGGTCTACTTGGGAGGATCAGGGGACTTAGTAAGTTAGGTTGTAAGTACCGTAAAAAGGGAATAAGGGTACCTGGACTTTGAAGTAACCAGGGGGAAAAAGTATATACTTTTATTTCATAACGGTTCCTTAAAGGAACAGGTACCCCAAAAATGTATTCAAGTAGGGTACTCCAGATACAAGGTACTACTGGGCATCCTATCAAAGGGTGAAAGGAGGGACCCTTAATAAGGACCCCTAGGTATATACCCTTAATATAACCATTATATATACCCATTATATAGCCCATTATAGGGTAAGGGTCCCCATTAAGGGTCCCTCCCCTTTGATCCCAGGAAACCTTCTTGAACTCTACAGGCTGGAAGTGCTCCGCCGTTGCAACGAACTTCAAGGCATATCGGGCATGGTAACTCTACTGAACTTAGAACCCTAGCAAAAATTGTATTTTTAGCTGTTTCTTAGGGATTATAATAACCCATAATTAAAAGTAATTTCTCTTTTTACCCCTGAGGTAACCCATGGCAAAGGCCGTAAGCCCCGCATCCCTCATAGTGACCCTAAAGGCCAAGGGTCCAATTACATAATAATCATATACCTCCAAAATCCTAAACTCCTAACCTACATAACTACTATCCTGAAACCGAGTACCTAACTGTTGGGTCCTTTGGACCCTTAGGGTAAGCCCTTAAACCCTCATAGTGACCCTAACTGAAGCCCTCGACAGAGCCTCGACCGGAAGCAATGTTTGCCAAGACTCGGGCGCAAGTAGCACAGGCCTTGTTGAACCAAAGCCAGAAAATCTTCCCAGGTGGTCCTCCCACGGACACTGTTGAGGATCCAAATTGAAAGCTTCTGGTCTTCGGGGTTATGATTGAGGAAAGTTTGGGGTTTAGGGGCTAGCATATGGTCTAGAGGTATACTTCGTTGGCTCAGTATTCTCGCAGCTAAGCTGTAGGAAGGCGAAGCAAGGGCTGGAGCAAAGAAATGCCAGGATGAGCAGTTGTCAGAAGTAACAGCAGCAGCGGTATCAACAAGTAGTTGATGATCCTCTCACAAACCGAACTGGCAATAACACGAACGTGCAAGCAGCTCGGATGGCCTGAAATGAAAGGTCGCGACAGCGAGCGCGAACGCCACCCAGATGTCGATGCCGGCCATAGCCATGGCTTCAAAGTTCGCTGATTGTGAACGAATTTGTCAGGCTGTTTCAGGCTTGGGACTACTTAGGCTCAGTGGACCTAAGGTGTAGGTAGGTTTACAAGCAGAGCTGAGCTCTTACGTCTTTAACTTATCTTAACTTATGGGCTTCATTTTCTTAGCTGGCAAAAAATACCGGAAAAAGTCATAGTTAAAAGGAAGCCTCAGAAGCGTCAGTATGGGTTCGAAGCCTTGCTGTTCAGGGTTAGGGGTTTATGCTTTTCGATTTTCAGGGTTTAGGGCTTCTTGTTTTTAGGGTTTTAGGGTTTAGGGGTTTGCATGTAATTGGGGCTTTAGGCTTCGAAGCTGTAAGGTGGTAAAGGGCGTCATCTTGTTGAGATTTGGGGTTCGAGCTAAACTCTAAGGCACCCTTGGAGCCATCTTGCGAATTGCGAGAAATCATAGAACCTGCGTTGAAAACACATCCTAACCCTGAAAGAGCAACGTAGGGGCCTCAACCACTAGAATAGCGTTTTGGGCACCTGCGTTGCATAATTGATTTTAGTCTGGAGCCCTACGAATGATGTTGGTAGTTACGTAGACTTCAATATTAAGCTCCTGAAGCCACCAGATACAGCCCAGCCCCTTGAACCCTAAAGTCACACCGCGCCAACGAGATTGGAATCCCACATGCCCTTGCAAATTTCAGGCGTTACCCCAACAGCCCTGCCTTACAGATCATGCTAAAATGTAAGCAAATGTAGTGCCGAACATTGAAGCTGAAAACCTACACCCAAAACCCTAAACCCAAACCTTAAACCCTCAACCCTGAAAACCTTGAACCCAAACCCTTAACGCCTTAAACCCTAAACCCGGAAAACCCCAACACACTACTATAGGGGCCTTAATAAGTAGAATAGGGTTTTGGGGCCCATTTTACAATAGTTTTCATAAGGAACCCCCAAAATAGTATAGGTACTTATTAAGGCCCCTATAGTAAACCATCCGACAAATACCGTCAATAGGACCGGGCATCAGAGATGGCATTGCTACGGAGGGACAAGGCGGCGAGATGCTGTAGCGCCTCGGAATATGGGGACAAAAAGCTGGAAAGCTCTCATATAGGGGCCTTAGTAATTCGAGATTAGCACCAGGCTTTGGTACCCATTGAACCCCCAAAACAGTACATATAATCATTAAGGCCCTCCTACCATCGGCTTGGGTTTAGGCTTACCAGAACCCCCTCAAGTACCCTCCAATAGAGCCAATATGGTCCTTAATAGCGGTAGGATTTGGGGGAACGGGTACAGCGCTGAGGTTCGAGAGTCGCGGATCTGAGGTTTGAGGAGTAAGGTTCGAATTCGGGAGTCATTGCGTGGCTTTTGAGGTCGAAAATGACATTATTAAGATACATGTGTGCGTATGTCTAAATATGTATGTATAGAATATATAATGCACTGGTTGACATATATATATATATATAGAGAGAGAGAGAGAGAGAGAGAGATAGAGATAGAGAGAGATAGATAGATAGATAGATAGATAGATAGATGCAAGGTACTAACGTATGCTAACTCTACGTCGACCCAGGTCCCATGCTCAATTGAACAGGCGTACTCGGCTCACCGTTACTTGGCATTCCAGGCTTCTGAAAACAAAACGAATGAGAACTAATAACTGAGGTTGCCTGGAATACCTTCGGGGTCTGCACGTCTGCCAGACAGTCATATAGGTCAGAGAAGTGCATTCCGAGACAATACCAGCCCAACTTCAGCTCTTATGGAACATAGTACGGTTGTAATCTTCTGGGTCAGAGGTGAGAGGTTGTCCTCAAGACTTGAAACACGGCTCTAAAAGCCCGAGCTCGTTAGAGAACAACTCTGAACGTAAACATGAAAAGCCGTGCAGCCCCAAATCCCGAAACCAAAGCCCTAAACCCTAAATCCCTAAATCCCTAAACCCTAAACCCTAAACCCTAAATCCCTAAATCCCTAAACCCTAAACCCTAAACCCTAAATCCCTAAACCTTTAAAAGCCTGAACCTCCCCAACCCTCAGTTCTCAGTTCCCTGCTGAGGCAGGTCCCGCTGAGAGGAGATCGGCAAACATCAGCGCCGACGCATCGGTCAGGTGGTTCTTCTCCAGGTCCAAGACCTGGTTTTGGGGTCATTTTTAGTATAGTGGCGTGTAGTATACTAGACCCAAGAGTAGCCTAGGAATAAAAAGGGTGCCCTTTTTGGTTTAAAGGGGCTTATAAGGGAACCTGAACCCTCAAAAAAGGGAATAAGGGCCTACTCTGGGTCCTAGTTAGGGTCATTTTTAGTATAGTGGCATGTAGTATAGTCTAATCTTGGATACTTCTCCAGGTCCAAGACCTGCACGGTTTAGGGTTTAGGGCCATTTTTTGTATCGTGCATTGTATAGTGTAGTATAGTAGAACCTTAGGATGATGTAGTAGAACATAGTATACTAAAGTATCATCAAGCAAAATACGGGACAGTATAGCCTTAAACGTTTAGGGTTTCAGATTTCGGATTGACGCTGTTTTGTGTCTATCAAGGCGCCTTATGAGGGCGTTCGGACGTGGAGGTTTCTGGCCCTTTTGGGTACATATTACGGTTTAGAGTTTAGGGTTTAGGGTTTAGGGTTTAGGGTTTAGGGTTTAGGGTTTAGGGCCATACTATTTCAAACCCACCCCCTTAACCCAACACCTTACCCCAAAGGTCCAAAGGACCCAGTAGTTAGGCACTCGGTTTTAGAATAGTCGCTATGTAGGTTAGGATTTTGGAAAGCTTATGATTATTGGGTACTTGGACCCTTGGGGTTAAACCCCAAACCCAATATCAAATCCGCAAAGCTTCAAGACAAAACCCTGACCTTAACCCCTTGCTTGCAACCCAAACCTGAATGCTGCTACTTGGTGGATCATGGGACTTAGTAAGTAAGATTATAAGTACCCTAGTTGGGGTTATAAGTAGTTATAAGTACAGTTACCATATGACCCGTTTAGTAATGTCCGGTGTCCAACTAACGGGATGCCGCTTGGTTGGATCCCTTCGCAGTGGATCTCTGCTGCAAGGCATTCTACGAGAGTTCTCGACTTTCCTTCGAAACTCATACTGCCCGTTTCCTATCCCAAAAGCTCGTGAATTCCTGACTAGACCCCAACGCCCTATGCCCGAAACCCTGAGTTACAACGAAACCCTGAGTTACGGAGCCCCAAGACTTTTGAAGCAACAACTCATACACCCTGACAACCTAAATCCTAAACCCCAACCCC